GTTCGGGGCCTTGGGGGTTTTGACATTTGAGGGAGTCTTTGCTTCTTTTTCTCTCAGTTTGGGTCTTTAGAGGGTTTGGCGGGTTTAACGTTGGTGTTTTCCCCCAACCCTAACGACCCCTCAAAGCCCTCAGAGCAAAGACCCTCAAGTCCTGAACCCTAAACCCTAAACCCTAAACCCAAACCCTCTCAACTCGACCCCTCCGTCCTCCACCCTCAACTCCGGGCCTTAAAGCCCTAACCACCACACCCCTAAGTCCCCCTACGTCCCCCAAAGTCCCCCTAAACCACCCCCTAACCCCCCCAACCCCCTTAGACCCATGTTCACCCTTATACTAGCAGTCCCAATAGGGCTTCTAGTCGGGGGTACGAGTACTACAATCCCTACTAAGGACTGTTCGTATAAGGGGGAAGATCCCAACCCCCAACCCACAAGTTTAAGGCTTCCCTTATCCGTTGTTTTTTGGGGGGGAGTTGGGGTTTAGGGCTTCGAGGGGTTTTGGGAGGCCTGGCTTCGGGGGTTCAGGTTTCGGGATTATAATAGGGAGACTATAATCCCTATTGAGAACTGTTCGTATAAACGGGAACATGCCAAGTGGCTGAGCTGAGAAATTCTCGACAATACGGGCCCTTTTCAGCACACATGGCAGCTACCAACTCCAGACCCGAAACCCCAAACCCGAAAACCTAAACCCTAAACCCTAAACCCCTAAACCCTAAACCCCTAACCCAAAACCCTCAACCCTAAACCCCTAACCCTAAACCCTAAACCCGCGTAGGGCTTAGGGCTATTCCACCCTCAGGGCCAAAGGCCTGTCTCCATTCGACCCCTCAGGGCGGGCCTCGGTGGGTGGGGGGTCTTTAGGGTACGGATTCAAGGCTTCGGGGGTTCAGGGGGGTTTCGGGGGTTGAGGGGGGCTGAGGGCGCTGAGGGGGTTGAGAGGGTTGAGGGGTCCAGAGTCCGAAGTTCAGAGTTTAGGGCTTAGGAGTATATCGGCGTCGGCATCATGAATTGAAGCCACTTCCACGGGCGCTTGGTCCCTCCGAGTTGGGGTCGTTGCCCGGGCTGGTTCTTTTGGGGGTTTGGGGTTTGGGGCTTAAGGCCCGGATTCCCCCCGTTCCCCCCCCCGGCCTAAACCGTAACTTAAACCCTAACATCTAAGCCCTAAGCCCCAAACCCTAAACCCTAAGCCCAAACCCCTAAACCCTAAGCCCCAAACCCTAAGCCCTAAGCCCACCCTAAACCCTCAACCTCCTCAAGTGTAAAGGGTTTTGTCTGGGAGATGTAGGGTTGAGGGCTAGTAAGGCTTGGGGCTTAGGGGTTCAGGGGGTTTGAGGGTTTCGGTCAATTTCAGGTTTCGAAGCCCCGGAACCTAAACCCTCAACCCTAACCCCTAAGCCCCTGAAACCCCCTCAACCCTGAACCCTAAACCCCAAACCCTAAACCCTACAGTAAACCCCCAAAACCCTAAATCCTGAACCCCAAACCCTAAAGACCCTTAGCAACCGTATTTTCTTCGAAGCCGTCGCCTTCCTCGGCCGAGCTTGGCCATGCCAGGCAGGTCCTTCTGGGTTTAGGGTTTAGGGTTTAGGGTTTTCGGGTTTAGGGTCTTAGGGTTTTAGGGTTTAGGGGTTGAATGGGGTTTAGGGTTTAAGGTCGAACGTTTCAGGGTGTAGGGTCAGGGTTCAGGGTCGGCACCAGCTTCCAGCAGCAGGCGCACGATCTCAACGTGGCCTTGGGCAGATGCTTGCGTGAGGGCGGTATCGCCAAGGTCGTCCTGGCGGCTCGGGTCGGCGGCAGCTTCCAGCAGCAAACGTACAACCTCAGTGTGCCCCTGGCAAGATGCGTGCATGAGCGCGTTGATGCCGCACCTGCTCTGCAGGTTCTTGTCCGCGCCGGCTTCCAGCAGCAGGCGCGCTGTGTCGACGTGACCGTGGGAAGCTGCGAGCATCAGAGCAGTTCGGTCGCTGTTGTCCTGCTGCTCGATGACGGCAGCATCTTCCAGCAGCAAGCGTACGACCTCCGCGTGGCCCTGAGAAGACGCGTGCATGAGAGCGGTCATGCCGGTCCTTCCCTGCAAGCGGTTGCCGGCACCAGCTTCCAACAGCAAGCGTACAATCTCAACGTGGCCTTGGGAGGAGGCCGACATGAGAGCCGTCGCGCCCGTCGAATTCTGTTGAAGGTCCGTGCCAGCACGAGCTTCCAGCAGCAGGCGCGCGACTTCAAGGTGGCCTTGCGCGGACGCCTGCATGAGGGCGGAGACACCCTGCCAGTCTCGGAAGTTCTTATCGGCGCCAGCTTCCATCAGAGCACGGACGACTGCAACATGGCCTGTTTCGGCGGCGGCAAGAAGCTCACCTGGGGGGGATGTACGATATTAGGGGGTACCTTCTTGAGGGCCTAACTACAAGGGACCCTACTATTTGGGGGACTCTTCTTTAGGCCTCCCTATAACTTTCGTATGCTCCCACCTCCCGCCTCAAGCCTCTGCTGTGGTTTGAGGTCGGACAGGAGAACCAGCTGCAGGTCAGCAGGGCCCTCCAGAGGAGAGCGGTTCTCTAAGCAGGTCTCAGCATGCAGGATCCGCTGGAGGCAGACCTTTTCTGAACTTGGGGAGAACCCTAGCAAAAAAACATATCAGTAGCTGTTTTTTTCTTTGGAATGATGGTACCCCCCAAAAAGATTCCCAAGTATACCTAAGACACTGAATCATGGTACAAAAAAAGGATGATGGTACCCCCCCCAAAAAAGGATTCCCAAGTATCCCTAAGATACTGGGAAGCCATTCTTGCGGCTCAAGTGGTGCTTCAGAGCAATCACGTCACTCAAGTCCCCTGTGGGCACGGCGGCCAGCTCTTGTCCCGAAGCACTCCACACATGCAGCATGAGAAGCCTACCATAGCTGGCAGGTTTAGGGCTTAGGGTTTGGGGTTTGGGGTTTGGGGTTTGGGGTTTGGGGTTTGGGGGTTTGGGTTTAGGATTTAAGGTTTAGGGTTTAGGGTCTAGGGTTTAGGGTTTAGGGGTGAGAGTTTAGGGGTTAGGCCAATACTAAAACACAACGACCATCCGAGAATGATGACAACATGCTGATGCTGGTTATCAGATTGACAAGAAGAGTTGTCCCCTGTGTACCCCAGGCGTGCAAAGAATCCAAAGTCAGGTTCTTCTGGATTTCTATCTGGACCTGATGACATTCAGATTCGTTCCAGTATTGCCAAGACCCTCTGTAGTTCTCCCTTTTTGGGATCCCTTTTTAAACGGTGTCACCTTATAACGGGCACCCCAAAAGGGACCCTTAATTAGGAGACTACCCATAAGCAGCTTCTTGGAAGTCGATTTCGTTCCGAGAGCGCTTGTTGGCCGATCCCTTCGCTGATGCTGGAGCCAGGCATAAGTCATGTAACCCTAAACCCTAAACCCTAAACCCTAAACCCTAAACCCTAAACCCTAAACCCTAAACCCTAAACCCTAAACCCTAAACCCTAAACCCCTAGCCTTGGGCTTTTTGTGCTTAGGGTGCCTAGAACCAGCTGGCGGACAAGCCCCAACCCAGGGGTAGGTGACCGTCAGCTCGAAACCTTGAACCCTAAACCCTAAACCCTAAACCCTAAACCCTAAACCCTAAACCCTAAACCCTAAACCCTAAACCCTAAACCCTAAACCCTAAACCAGAGCGTTGCCTGAGTCATTGCGCGTATTCCAAGGCCCCGGCAACCGTCCCCAGCACGCTGCCTTTGTGGCTATGCCGGAGGGGTTGGCCGCCTGGTGCAGACAGGGTGGTGGGGTGTTGGGGGGTTTGATGTTTCTGGGTTGTAAACCCTCCTAAACCCTAAACCCTAACAACCCTAAACCCTAAACCTTAAGCCCTAAACCCTTCACCCTAACAACCCTTTAGGGTTTGGGTTTGTAGGGTGCATGGCTTTGAGAGGTTTGAGGTTGCCCCCACAGCGAGGTTTGGGCGCGCGGGTCACCCGGCAGGCAACCCGGCCCCCCAGCCCCCGCCCTGTGGAGACCCGAAAGGTCGTATAGTATGTGGTTTAGGGTTTAGGGTTTAGGGTTTAGGGTTTAGGGTTTAGGCTAGTACACTGTAAGGGCTGGGCCGGAGGTCTATCGCTTCAAGGCTTTGCCTGGAGGCACGTGTCTAGCTCTTTTGGGATTCGCAGTGCCGCACAGGCTAAACCTGCTTGTTGAAGACCCCAACAATGCAGCATTTTTAGGGGCCTGAAGAATTGAATAGGGTTTGGGGGGGTTATTTCTAGCCTAATTTTAAATGGACTTTAAGGGAATACTATTCGTAACTATTCCGACCCCTATATTATCTAGTCAGTTCTCATAATGATGTTCCCTTTTTGGGTACCCTAAGTAATAGGGGCCGCCGTTTTGTAGCAACCCTAAAGGGGACCAGAATCCAGTGAAGTGACCACAAAGCGTACTGTATACCAGCGTAGACTCTAAAGTAAGCCCTCGAGCTGCCAGGCGACTGCCATTTTGACTCCGCATGGTTGGGGTACAGTAAAACCCGCTGGTTCTCAGTAGGGAATGAGGCGGGCCCTTTGACCCAAAACCTAAACCCTAAACCCTAAACCCTATGTACCCTTTAAGGGATTCTTTAGGGTACCTCTTTCCGTCATGCCCTACTAAGAACCAGCCAGTGAAATGGGGGGGGGGCAAACGCCGTTCCTGCCGAAGATTCCGGAAGGGACGGGGCTCGCCACTGCTGTACAAGGGCCGAGGGGGGTTTTCAACACCAGCGCCTGGCCCTCAGCCTCTCCTTGGTTTAGGGTTTAGGGTTTAGGGTTTAGGGTTTAGGGTTTAGGGTTTAGGGTTTAGGGTTTAGGGTTTAGGGTTTAGGGTTTAGGGTTTAGGGTTTAGGGTTTAGGGTTTAGGGTTTAGGGTTTAGGGTCTATATTTTGGCGACTGAAGGTTGAAGATTGAGCGGTTGGGGCTCTGATGGATCTGCTGAGGTTTGAAAATTTTGGGCGCAGCACGCTCCCGAGGGCTCACTGATGAACGATTCGTTCATGCCAGACCTGAAAAAGGCCGATGCCTGCTCCGTAGTGCAGAACGAGGCCGACGAAGAAGACCATCGCGAAGCCGGCGACATCTGACATGTCCGGGTGGCGGACGAAGAAAGAAGACTGGAGAGGCTTCCGAAACTTCTTGACATCCCGCGAGAATTCCTCGTCATTCTTGCTGGGCACGTTCAACGCGTAGATGTCGCTGTGCACAACGTGGTGGAGAGTGTGCCACCTTATCTTGCCGTGTGAGGCAGCTATGTTGCCTGTAGAGGCCTGGGCCTAAGGACATCCAGCAACCAACAGGGCAAATGTCGAAATTTCTCCTGAGACCTTGAGGTCTCTAATGGAACTTAGGCCTTGAGGCATTTTTCCGACTACACAGCCGCAAGAATGTTCCGGGAGGTACCAGAAGTTTCTTGGGTATTTGCCGGGTGGGAATGCCTGGGGGAGCTCCTCAGAGCCTCAATGAAATACTGTATCGATACTCAGCTATACTATATACTATCTAGTATAGTACGCTTAATCAGTATCGTATACTTACTCAATAACAGTATACTACACGACATAGTACCTCTGCAGCCGAGCTGCTGGACGAGAGACTTTTGAGGCCACATCGTGTGGACGACGATGTTGGGGCCCGACACGGCTGCGTGGAAGAAGAAGTACGGAACGCAGGCCAAGGTATTGCAAAAGAAGAGCGTGCCGCCTTCAATCCAAACCTCCCACAGCCCTGCCGCTGGCGTGGTAGGATACGTGCCTTTGCAGATATGATGCTCTAAGTGAGCAAGACGATAGAGCGGTTGCACCTCGTGGCAGAGTTTGTGGATCCAAGCGTACTTGAACTGCACCATCTGATGGAAGAACATGTTCTCCAGGAGGGTGGCCGCGAAATGGACGAAGTGGAACGGGAACCCCCAGCGAATCTGAATCAGAGCCAGGGCCGTCTGCTTTTGCAGGACGACGGCTAGCTGGGAAGTGGTGTACCTCCGTGTTCCAACTGGCATGCACTTGTCTCGCGGATCTGAACTACTCTCGGCTCTCGACTGCTGGAACCGTGCAGACAAACCGAAGCCCTACAACTGATACATGCGCCCCGGGAGGCAGGATCTCCATGACAGCTTCGGACTTGCTGAGTATGTTCTCGCGCCCCGCCAGCTCGCTGCAAAGGCGGTAGCCCTCACACCACAAGGGGACGGTGAGTAGCAGGACGAGGCCCAGGCCGTAGAGCAGGAACACGACCGTGCGCACCGAGGTCTCGATCGTCTCTGTCGGAAAGGTCATGTATCCTTCTCCACACGGATCATGTTTTGGGTACCAAAAAAAGCGACTTCGAAGTTCAAGAAACCGCTGAACTTCCGCTGAACCTGCAAGACCTTCCCTGAAAGCCATGCCGAATCCACAAAGCATGCACTTCACCATGCACTTCACCCGCACCCTGGGCAAACGTGAGTCCTTGCCACGAACTCGGAAGAAGCTGCTCGAGCCACAGGAGGAGGATGTAGTGAATGGCAACCTGGGTGAAGGAGACAACCGAGATGACCATGGCCATCAACCAGTTGTTGAACCATCCGAGCAAATCCGACATGCTGAGCTGCCACACCTTCGCCCGAAACAAGTAGTAGTAGTAGCACAAGCCCATGAGCAGGGTGGGGGCCAGGGAGTACGCGGCAATGAAGCGCTGATACTCCACAGAGAAGCCCGCAAGGGAGTTCAGGAAGAGCACCTGGCTCTTAATGGCGAATGAGGAAATTAGGGCCCTCTCTCTCTATATATACATATATCTGTATATATATATATGTGTATTAATATACATATATATATATATACTCTAAAGGATTCTACCGTCATTCCCTAAGAACCAGCCAGAAGAGCACCAGGGGGACGTAGGTGATGACGTTGAGGACCATGGTCTGACACATCCCCACGGGCACAAAGGCCTCCTGCACTTCCTTCGTTGCTTCCGCATGTGCTTCCCAGCGACAGCTCCTTGGTAGCCCAGTAACCTAAACCCTAAACCCTAAACCCTAAACCCTAAACCCTAAACCCTAAACCCTAAACCCTAAACCCTAAACCCTAAACCCTAAACCCTAAACCCTAAACCCTAAACCCCAACCCCCAACCCTCAACCCTCAACCCTAAACCCATTTTGGGGTTGGCTACTTTAGTAGGGAACCTAGGAACCCCAAAGAAAGGGCAAAAACGAGTATCCCTGGGCTACCAAGGCTCAAGTAGCTGATGCAAACCTTCCAGGTGCTCAGATACATCCCAGCAATCTTGCCAAAGGGCGCCAACGCCACGCTCCCCTTCATCGCGTCTCAAGCTTCAGTCTTACTTGGGCCTGAAATGGCTTGGCTCTACCACAGAGGTACCCAAGGAAAACAATACGCCCGCAAACGCCCCAAAGCACAGACCCCCAAAGCCTAGGCCTGACCGGTTCAGGGTTCAGGGTCTAGGGTTCAGGGTTTCGGGTTCAGGGTGCAGGGTTTAGGGTTCAGGGTTTAGGGTTCGGGTTGTAGGGTTTGGAGTTTAGGGTGTCGGGTTTAGGTTTCGGGGTGTAGGGTTGAGGCTTTCGGAAGGGGTAAAGAAGAGTTCCTGGTTTTCGGGCTAGGGGTTCAGGTGTTTAGGTTTAGGGATTAGAGGGTTTAGGGATTAGAGGGTTTCGGGTTTCTAGGGTTTAGGGTTGTGGGATGTTGTGGGTCTTGTTTAGGGGTTAGAGTTGGGGTTTAAGGGCTCAAGCCATCGAGTCTATGGCACAGTTTATGGGTTGGGGCTAATGAGATTGAATCTCTTAATCGGGGTTTAGGTCGGGGGGGGGGGGTTGCAGGTTTAGTGCCGGAGGCCCTAAATCCCAAAGCCCTACGCTGGGGCGAAGGCCCATCTTCATCAAGCCTTCTTGCAGCTGCTCGGCATCGTGATGCTCTGGAGACCTTGTAGCTGGGTTGGCCGTTAAACCCTCTGAAAAATATCAGGAAAGTAAAGAATGTCCCAAAAACCAACCTAGGTAGCTCAGTGCCTTGGGGGATTTCCAGACGTTTGGGAGGTTGCAAGTTTGAGGGTTTAAGGCTTTATCCTAGGGTCCTTAATCGGGAGGCTTCAAGCGGGACATGCCCAAGGTTCCCGAATTCCCGAAGGCTCCCTAAGCTTCCCTAAAGCCTGCCTAGGTACCGACCCCGCATGAACCTCCCTCCCTTAAGGGTTTAGGCTTTAGGGTTTAGAGTTTAGGGTTTAGGGTGAGTAGACCCTAAGTTTGACTGAGGGTGTTGGGGCTCGTGCCCGCGGACTGTTGCCACGAAGGTGAGAACCGAACCGAAGGGCACGATTGTGGCGGCATTCTCAACATCCGACCGTAAACCCCAAACCCCAAACCCCAAAACCCCAAACCCTAAACTCCCCAAAGCCTAAGCCCTACACATTGCAGATTCCTATGACGGAAGTCTATTCCCTGAACTCCCTAAACCACGCAGTGACAAGCTTCTCTGTGCCAACCCAAGAAATGCGTGCGCCTGGGCTCTTATACCCTAAACCCCTAGAGCCCTGAACCCCTGAACCCCGAAACGTTACTGTAAGTACCCCAAAGCCCCAAACCGACCAAAAACCCCTAAAGCCATAAACCCCAAAAACGCTAAGCAAACCCTCAAACCGCAAACCCCTGAAAAGCTCAAAACCCTCAAACCCCTCGAGCCTTGGATGCCCCCTAAACCCGAAAGCCCTTGCTGGGGTTTAGGGTTTAGGGTTTAGGGTCTAGGGTTTAGGGTTTAGGGCTATTAGGGTTATTAGGGTTATTAGGGTTTAGGGTGTAGCCCTAAACCCTAAACCCCCCAAACCCCCCTTGAGGTGCCGGCCCGCCCCTTGACAGCCATACTGCAGAGATGGTGTCTCAGTGGTGGCGAGGCTATGAGGCTTTGGGGGCTTTGTTGGGGTATAGTAGTGGGTAGTAGTTGCAGGCTCGTGGGGAGCTTCAGGGTGGCGGAAGTTTCGATTTCGGGGTTTAGAAAACCTTCCGACTTAGGGGTCTCTGGCCGAGGAATGAGAGTCTAGGGTAGCTTAGGCCTACAGAAATTCAGGGTTTAGGGCTTAGGGTTTGGGGTTTAGGGCTGCACGGATTTAGGGTTGAGGTGAGAGAACGGGACAAAAGATGGGTCGGGGGAGACCCGAATGACATGAAGCTCTGCGCACTGAAGCCTAGGTGCACCCCACAGACCCTGCAAAGAAAACAGGTAAACCCTGCAAACCCCAAATAGAACCACATATACCCTACAAACCCGAAATAGAACCACAGCAAACCCTACAAGCACTGCATGAAACCCCACACCAACCCTAGATAAACCCTAAACACACAAAGCCCAGAAAAGCCCAGATCGGCCAGGAGGCTCTGGTTCTCCAGGCCCAAAGAGTACCGCGGCTCGCGGCCTGGTCTTGGGTGCTCTGATTTTTTGGTTTTTTTTGATCTTGACGGTTTTTGTTGTTGTGTTTTGGATGTTGATGTGCTTTGTATTGAAATGAGTGTGTGTATGTGTGTTTTGGTTTTTGATGTTTTTTCTTTTTTTTTCAGGGGGGGGGGGGGTGTTGTGTGGGCGCTGAATTCCTGGTGAAGCCACGGCAAACCTGAGGTTCCTCCTTAGTCACAAAGAACCACGAACCTCCTCCTCCCCCCCCCCCCACCCAAACTAAGCACACCGAAGATCTAAGCACAAGAAGGGGCCTGTGACATACGTAGCTGTCGGGATACCTCTTGAAGAGAGACACCTAAACCCTTAAACCCTTAAACCCTAAAGCCCTAGACCCCCAAACCCCTAAACCCCTAAACTCTAAACCCCTAAACCCCTAAACCCCTACACCCCTAAACCCCTCAACCCCTCAACCCCTCAACTCCTAAACCCCTAAACCCCGGTAGGGGCAGTAGAGGCCGGGTGCCAGGCCGCTGTCTTCGTGCAGCACGTGCCTGAGGCTCCCGGACTCCAGGGCATTAGGGTTGGGTGGTTTTACCCTAAACCTTCAACCTATACAAACCCCATAAACCACGAAACCCTAAGCCCCTAAACCCTATAAACCCTACAAACCCTATAAACCTTATAAACCCTACAAACCCTATGAACCCACAAACCCTATGAACCCTACAAACCCTATGAACCCTACAAACCCTATGAACAGTATAAAACCTGTGAACCCTATAAAACCTGCGAACCCTACAAACCCTATGAACCCTACAACCCCTGTAAAACCAATAATATAAACCCTAAACCCTAAACCCTAAACCCTAACCCCTAAACCCTAACCTCTGCTGTCGTCTGCTTGAAGCAGAAGGTGGCTGTGGCGATTGAGGGCGCGGCGTGCCATCACTGGGCTCCAGCTGCCCAAACCTGGGTGCGAGCGACCCGGGAACAAGATCCCTCGACAGCAGCCAGGGTTTAGGGTTTAGGGTTTAGGGTTTAGGGCGTTTAGGGTTTAGGGTTTAGGGTTGAGGGTTTAGGGTTTAGGGTTTAGAGTTTATGTGATCCCTATATAGCAGGTTTAGGGTTAAGTGATCCCTATAAATCATGTTATCATTAGAGCATTTAGGGTTTAGCGTTTAGGGTTAAGTGATCCGTACATAGCACATAGACAAAAGCCCTTAAACCTAAACCCGAAACCCAAGTCTTCCAGTGTATAGAACTGTTTCCCCTTTCGTAGAAGATTATGGTACATAGTATAAACATTCGTCATGGTATGTTGGAGCGCAGAGGTGTTTCAAAGCATACTTTAATTTATTAGCAGTGAACCCGTTGCCGTCCTAAACACCCCAAAGCCCCAAAAGCCTAAACCCTAAACCCCAACCCCCAAACCCTAAACCCCGAACTTCCTAAACCCTAAACCCCGAACCCCTTCCCAAAAAAAGTTAATAACTACAAATGAAACAAAAATTTAAAACGAAACCCGACACCCCCAAAAATCCTAAACCCCCCAAACCCCCTTGAACCCCCCCAAGCCCCCCAAACCACAAACCCCCCTAAACCCGGTGAACCCTCAAACCACCGAAGCCCTGAACTCCAAAATCTCCAGCCACCCTCCCCCCTCTTCCGGAAACTCTAAACGCCCTAGATACCCTAAACGCCCTATAAACTCTACACCCAAAGCTTGGGCCTAAGTGCTACGTAAAGCCCGAAACCCCAAAACCTAAACTTGAAATCCCATATCAGCAAATCTCCAAACCCTAAACCAAATCCGCCGAGGTGTCGGGCCGGTGTCAAGGTTGTGAGAACAGGCATCGGCCCCCTTTTTTTGTGCAACGGGCACCCCACGTAGGCGATCGGGATCTGAAAGCCGACGGTTTGCGGGGACCAGATGGTCTGGTCTAGAATCTGGCACGAAAAAACCCCCCCCACCCCCCCCCCCCCCCCCGCGCCCCCCCACCCCCACCCCACCCCCCCCCCCCCACCCCCCCCCCCCCCCGCCCGCCTTCTACGTTTTCTGCGTCGGGGCGTGGCGTTGTTGGTATGGGTCGACGTGGTTTCCTCACCTGGGGCGTTTTTGTAGGCGAGAGGTGTTGCAGCGCCCCCGCCCCCCCACCTCCCCCCCAACGTCGGCCCCTCTCTCTGGGAGCTGCATTGGGCCAGGCCGAGGCGGGTCGCGTAGCGTTAAAATTACAACAAGCCCTAGATGAGGGTCGAGGGGCCTTCGGCCGTCGGGTAGGAAGATCTCCAAATTGGAGTTAATGGACCTCGAACAGGGGGTTTAGGGGTTAAAAGGGTCATAAAGGGTTAGGGGATACGGGGGTTAAGGGGTTTTGGGGCTTAGGGGTTTGGGGTTTGGGGTTTAGGGGTTTGAGGTTTGAAAAGGTTTACGGGTCAAGGGGGGTTAGGAGTTTGGGGGTTGAGGGTTTGAGGATTTCGAGCACCGAGCCTGAGAGTTGTAGCTCTGAAGCCGTAGAAGTTAAGGGAAGCAAGGGTGGGAGTTGGACTCCGGGTTAAGAACTGTGCGAGCAGTTCGCCCGTTCGCCCGTTTAGGCCTTAGGGTTTAGGGTTTAGATTTTACGGGTGTGGGGGTTTAAGGTTTAGAGCATGAGTCCCCAAAAGGCCCACACTGTCCAAAGCCTGTACCTTGAAAGCCTCCAAGTCTTCGAAACAAAGGCACCCAAACCCGAAACAAATCCCTGAACCCAAAACCCTAAACCCTAAACCCTAAGCCCTAGACCCGAGACCCGAAACAAATCCCTGAACCCAAAACCCTCAAGTTTAAGGGCAAGAGCCTTCAACGCGGCACCCGCGCCCTAAACGCTCAACCTCAACCCAGCAGCTTCAGGCCTTCGTGGCTTTAGGGTTGAGGTTTAGGG